AAGCCCTGTTTCAGGAGATCCGCTGTAAGCTATGAGTAGAAACTTCGGGCAGATCCGCGGCCCTGCTTCTGAAAAATCCATTCCGAAAGGTCTGGTTGTTGGACCGCAAGCGTGAGGGGAGTTCGGATTAAACAAAAAAAAAATATATAAGTAAGCATTTAGTTGGAACATGTATCAGAATGTGGGTGGATCCTGATCAAATGCGCCATGCCTTGAGCCGCTTTTAGCCGCTTTGGCATGCTTTGCCACTGCGATGTGAGCCGCTTTGCCACACGAGGGCTCAAGAGCAGACACGGACCTTAGCCGAGATCACCACAGCGAGCTGGGGGACACTTCTGGACATCAGGAACCTTGTCTCAGCTGTAGTCAAGCCCTTCTAGGTGAATCATGTGAAATCCAAGCAGCCTTGGAGAAATGTTTCTATCATTTTCTATCTCAACTCTCCACGGGTGGATATGTGGCAGTGGTTTTCTGAGGTTGCAGCTGTGGCCAAGCGGAGGCTTTAAGCCTTTATTCATAGCCTTAAGCATTTACAGGTCTCGAGACTGGTGGAGGCAAGTCCAAGCTTGTGAGGCAGACAAGTGGCTGTGACTCTTCACGAGTGGCCGATGGATGTGTTCCAACACAGTCGGAGAGCGCAAGGTCCATGGCATTGATTCCATGTGACCAACTGGATGCTGGCTGTTCTGATGCAGAACATCCCTAAGGCTTCTGTTCGGCCGCGTCAACGCCCGCGGTTGTCCCGGCGAAGTCCCCCCGTTCTTCCGTTTTCGGACCTCCGCGCAGCTTGCCGAACGAGTTGCCATCACGGGCTTGAAGGCCGATGCATACAGCTGATATTTGCATGGATGATCGAACAGGATGCAGCTCGTACTGCGAAATTGTGATGCTCGTACTGCGCCGGTGGTCCATGTTTTGGGCATCTCCTTTGCAAAGTCAAAGGATCCCAGACCTTTACAGCGCGCAAGGCAGCTGGGGCGGTATGTTCCACACCCACTCAACAGGCTATACCAAAAACATATATATATATACATATACACAATGTATATCTAAAATGACAGCAATGAGCCGCATGTTCTTTGACGTCGCACCGCACTCCAAAGCAACAGACTGGCCATAAATCGATGTTTTCCCTGCTCCACCCGTCACGGATTCCAAGAATCGTGCCGTCTCCGCTCGGCTCGCTCTTCAGGGCCGACTCGCCGCACGTTTCGGTGGCCAGGAGCGAGCAGCTCTCTTGCAGACCGTCCTAGAAGTGTGGGACGCGCCCAGTGAAAACGACCACCGAGGACCCCAGACCGGTGGACGACCAACCGCCGAAACTTCGGAGGTCCTAGGGGGAAAAACGAGGTCCCATGGTGAACGGTGGACATCAAAAGATGGGATGTTTTTGTTGGAAAAACGCTGGTCAGCAGTATCTGGAGGATCATGTGAAGCAGAAAGCGATTCATGTATACTCTTGATTAATAACCCCCCTCCATTTGGGTGGCAAAACCTCTTCATGTGGGGGCTTTTACAAATTAAGAGTCTACATTAATGTCCTTGCGAATATCAGTCGCCTGTTTCTGGTCAGCCTTCAATTGGTTTGTCCCCAGTCAGGGTCTTGGAACTGTCCCTATAAGTGATCGAAGCACCCGATTTGCTCCAACATTCAAACGGGAGTCGGAGTAGATCCGGTTCCGGAAAACCCGTGGCCTTCGGCTTAGGGGCCGCGAGGACCTAGGCGTCTCCTGGAGTAGACTCAGATGGCAAGGTGCAAATGCAAGGTGCAGCCATTCCCCTGGCTCTCTTGTAGCTTTCTGGGGGGTGCCCAACTTTTGACAGAAGCAGACCATGTGGCGTGTCACTCTCCTCCAATCCACTTGATTTCATTGACCTCGCTTTCGTTGCTACCTCGCAGTATGGTTTGCGCCCAGCAGCGGACTGATCGCTTCGGCGCAGCGAACCCCGGTCTCAGTCGACGACGACCAAGGCCGGAAGTGCTCTACGCCATGTGTACCAACACCTACGGCAATTACGTGGTGGCCACTGCTTGATTGATTGAATCACCATGCCTGCAAGCTACTGATGGAAGGAAGGACATCATTGACATTATGAGTGTTGGATTAAACATGGATGGTAGTGGATGGTATATTGAGAAAGTCCTCTCTCTCAAGTGCTGCCCCCAAGCTGCAATGGTGTTGAATTTTGGACCAAGTCCCGAGCGGCCGAGCCGCCCATTCGGAACGGGACGGGTCGGAGGTCGAGCTGGACGGACGTGATCCGGTCGGAGGGCTTTTTCCTTTGCGGAAAGAACATGTCGTGGCTTCTTTGCGGGGGTGAAACAGTGGTATCGACATGTATAGCAGTGCCCAAGAATCATTCTGAAAGCAACGAAATTCAACACGCCAGGGCGTGCTTTTTTCAAGGAGAGGCCAACAGAGAACCCCAAACACGTAGTGTAAATCCCTTGCATCTGGTATTACGTATAGAGCCAATTCACAAATGCCTTGACTGGATGTACTTGAAGAACAATGCCATCTGCTTTTGGGAGGAACTGGACCTCCCAAGTAGCCCCACGTCGCATCTTCCCCACATCCCAGTCATTTTGGGGGGAGGGGCAAGACGCCAATTTGGATCCATTTGGCTGAGTATAAAAATAGGAAGACCTCCCAAATACCTCTGGAAGAAAATAGACCAGTCTACCCAGCCAGGGCCAGGGTGTCTCCCAATCAACATACACATCCATTTCTTCTTCGTTGATCGACGATACCATCCACGATGCGAGCCATGCGCCTCACGCTCCTTCCCTGGCGGACCCTCACCCTGCGCCTCCTCGGGCCACGAGCGGCGGCGGCGGCGGTGGCGGCAGAAGCAACGCCGGTCACACTGACGCTGTCGGGGTGCGCTTGAAGAGGGCTTAGACTCGAGTTGGTGGGGTCGAGGAAAACATCTGTAGAGTCTGTAGAGCTGATGGGTGACATGGAAGTTTTTGGCCAGCTTTTGGCCACATGGGATTGGATGAAGACTGACCGCAGGGATTTTGACCGCAGGGATGGCTTCATGCTGACCTGACATCAAGCAAAGGGGCTTGGTGGCCGAATGTGGATCAATAAAACAGTCAAAAGAAGACTCTGGTGTTGATTCATGGTCTTCCCCAAGGTAGTCCACCAAGCCCTTCTTGTGGAAACAAAAGCTCCCTGACAAGGCTCTCACTGCCATATACTCACCTATTTCACCTTACCAAGCATTAGGGGCTACATGGAGATTGCAGAATTCCATGAAACTCAATGACTCGAACGACTCGTATTCCTTCACAGCACCCATGTGAGAAGACATCTGGACCACACCCGTTCGGACACCGCTTTGCGCTTTCCACCGCGCTTTCGCTCGGTGAGCGTTCTGAACGGCCCAGGCGCCTGAGGCAGTTGGCGTTCCGCACGGCGCGAGCTAGCTGCACTGCCAGCGGCGCAGTGGGTCTTACGGTCTTTGGGCTGGTGGTGTGCCCGTGCGCCGGCGGGTGGTTGGGGGCAGCGGCAGCCACTGCTTGGAACAGAGGGGCACTGACCCTGGGGAAGCTAGGTGGACGCTGATACAAGACATCCTCATAGAGGAACTGCCAACTTCAATCTCATTCTCTGTAGATTTCTAATGATTATAATGATTTCTATGTTTCAAGCATCAAGGCAGTGCAAGTCAGCAGGTACGACTTTGAGGGATCAAGAGCCACTTGCTAGACGGGCAAGCAGATTTGAAATCCCCCTGACCTCTGACGATCATTGCCGTGCTCTCAGAGTAGGCTGCAGTCGGAGGCTGGCATTGCCGCAAAATTGGTTGGATGGTAAAAACTCTTGGACGTGTCCTGTAGCAATCTCTTGAAGCCTTCAAACCTTGGACATTCCAAGACTTGGAGTCTTGGATCGGTCACAAGCACAGACAAGCACAGACAGAACGTTGAACGTCACACCATCCAGGACCATCCAGCTTGGATCGGTCACGCTTTCCTCAGCTGAAGAGTACTGCTGCCAAGCTGCCAAAGAAAGTGGCCGCTATGGCCGGCCTTCTCTAAGGAGTTCCGACCAGCGACCACCGCGCTGAGCGAGGTACGTATGGCGGCGCGCACCGCTGAGCGACGCCGAAAGTGAAGCGTTGGATGAGGAGCGCACCGCTGAAGCGATGGTTACCAGGTGTGCATGGTCGGTGTTGTGCTACCTACCCCCCCCAACCACAAGGTTTTGGATGGGTTCTCGTAATTTTTTTTATCTTTCAAAGGCGTGTGCCTCTTCAGTCAGACAAAAGTTTGACCCCTGGTCAGGGAAGATAGAACTTGGCCTATATAAACTCAGTGGGCCACAGCTTGGTCACCCCGACTTGATTTGATCCGGGACGGACACTTATGTCGGTTTTGATGGGATCGGCCTAGCCTCGCGTTCAGCCCGAGGTGTTCATTCACTTAAAGAATATATTGTTTTTTCAGTTCGGACTGTTCTCGCATTTTGAGCTCGGGTCTTCATTAGAGAGCTTGGGTTGATCTCCTTGCGCTTCGAGCTTCGGTTTTGTCTCTGCCAGCGCCTCTAGTTGTGGCTAGTTGTTGGAAAAAGAGGAAAACCATTCTTGGAGTTGAGGGGACAGGAAAAAGACACGTTTCTGAAGATTCACCAAATTCTATCATCAATAATTTGTGGATTCATTGACAGAACAAGCTGCAGTGCATCAACCCCTGGGACGGAGACAAGGAACAACAGGTTCTCCAAGGATCTGGTTTATTTTAAGGCCATTGACCCATTAGTGCGAACCAACAGCCGACAATTCGAAAGTAAGACATTCTCCCTCCCTCCCTCCCTCCCTCGCTCGCCTGCTCTCTATATTTGTCAACATGTCTCTTGGATACCTTCTCTACTTAGTACCTCCCGCGCTGCAGCATACTAAACGTTCCGTGTCCAAAAAGGTCAATCACCAGGTCAATCACCTTCTTTTGGGTCACACTCTTTTCATCACCAGTCTCCAGCCGATGAACTCGCATGGAACGTTCAAGTAGCCGACAGGACCTGATGCAGATCACCGCGCTGGATAGGGGCGACAAGCTCTCTGCTGCAGAGATCTGGGCTGCTGTCGCGGAACTGCGGGTGCCACCCTTTTCCTTTCACGTGCCTTCGTTTTTCCAAGCACGGCGAGAAATGGGAAATAGCAAGCCGGCTGGGCAAGCAATCAGGTTTTCGGGCCAGCCGGCTTGATGCAGCCAACCGCTAGACTTTCTTTGGATCCCTTCCAGTTCCAACTCGCAGAATGTGCCACACCCTGAAACACCTCACCCACCTTCTTGGTGTGCACTCATACTCTCATATTGGGATGGGCCAACACCAGGCAGCACCCGGTCGTTGCGTTTCATTTTCACTGAAGCAGGGGTTGGTTCAAGTTGCTTCCGCGGTTCTTTCTTGCCAATGACCGCCACCGTCCACCGCCTTGCGGCCGTCTGTCGAGACAGACGCGTGACCCGCGGCCGTCTGTCGAGGACTTGCAGCGTCCGCTGTGCTTCGGACTCTTTCAACTCGTGGGACGCTTCACCTTCGCCTGCTACTCCGATGCCTCCGGGGTGATGACGCTTCAAGAGTTCCACTGTGCGGTGCATAAGATGGTGGCTGAGTTGCAGAGTTCCACGGGCTTGCGCCCGCGCGAGCTTGCTGGAAGGAGGGATCGGGTTTGAAAAGGGCGTGGCAGCGTGGTGGCTGCCCCGTTGGACGATTCTGTTTCAAAGCTGTAAAGTTACAAGAAGAAACAGGTGTATGCAGACAAGAAAAAACTCCTATGCTATTGTTCATCATTTGGAATCACTAAATATCATTGCCATGGTCCCATGGGCAGCCACGCCTCACACATATAAACGACTGCCAAAACCCTCAATATGGTTTCTGCCAATTGCGGTGGTAATTCCCCAAACAACACCTGTCTCACCAGCAAAATGGGGGTTTCTCTGTATTCACTGGTCAATCGACAGATGTGCAATGGCAATGGATGAAGCCCACGTGAAGATCTTTCTCTCCGGTGATTCACACAGGTGATTTGTGATGAAACTGAGCATCAGCTTGAGAAACTGAGCATCAGCTTGAGAATGATAGGTTCCATCTGAGGCCTAAGGCTCTGAGGTTGTTGTAATTCACAGATGTGATGGGTAAGGTATGTGAATAGCACCATCCCCAAAAAACTTCTGAGGGAGCTTGTACGATGACAATGAGTGTGTCAAAGAACATTGCACGGGCATTCGGGTGAACGCACACTCGCGTCGAAGCCGCAAAGCCGCGAAGCCACGTGGCGTCGCGAAGCTTCCATGCGTGGAGGCGTCGAGGCTTCGAAGCCGCAAAGTGTCCAGGCCGCCAAGCGTCGAAGATTCGAGGCATGGAGGTGTCGAAGCGGACATGCTGGACACGTTGGAAAGTCGAAAAAACATCAAGTATGGACATGTTACATGTTGGAAAAGCGTTTCAGCAGCCTTCCTCCAAGGCCGTGAGTGTACAGAAGACATCTGGAGGAAAGCGCCACGAAATTTAGAAAGTCTTGTTACGGACTGGTCAGGCACCCTTTGATTCCGACAGTCGTTTTCCGTATCCCGAATCCCTGCTGCTGTATACCCCATGGAGCTGTTCATGCCATAGGCCATGTCCACGACTTTATTTTTTCGCAGGAGATGAAAGCGAGCAAAAGCAGGCATCCCAGATTTGGTGGGGAGAGCTTGAAGAGGGCAAACCTACCCAACGTGGGGTTCAAATTGAGCAACATGAATTCTCACTTTACAGCAGGACAAAAACATGTTTCATACATGCTGAAAGACGAAGACGGAGGAAAGAAGAAGCCCAGCACCAAGAGAAGAGCGCTCTTCGCGGGGTCTGGGAGCTTTGTCATGGCGTTGCAGTCAAGTTGCGTTTCGTTTTTCTGCTTACGTTTGTATTTGAGCGAGGTTAATACTTCGACTGTTGAAGCGCCCATGGCCAGAACCAAAGTTCAGGGCACTCCCAATGAAGGAAGCCCCTCCAAAGTTTTGCCCATGTGCTGGCAGTCTGCCAAAATAGACCGTGTATGTCGCGCTCCAGGTGCGTCAGAAGACCATGCAGCCCCATCGATGCCGAAGACATTTGTTACTTGTTGAGTTTTCAATGGGGAGAGATGTCGGGCTAAATCCCACAAGGTCGCTCACCACGTGCTCTGGCGCCAAAGACGCCAGGAAGATTGATCACTGATTGCAGAAGTGCTTACGACAAGCTACAGAGGCCATGCCATGCGTTTCACTAACTGGGCAGCCCAAAAAGATCGACATCGAGCTCTATAGCGGCTATCACACAGTGCACAGCATCAGAATCAGAGGAACGAAGCTTTGAGGCGTCGAGGCTTCAAAGCCGCCAAGCGTCCAAGCCACCAAGCCGACAACTGTCGAGGCGTGGAGGCGTCGAGGCTTCGAGGCGTGGAGGCATTAGGCGCTGAGGTGTGGAGATGCGTGGAGGCGTGGAAGGATGTCACCAACTCACTTCCCCCATGCCCTCTTGTATGTGTTTGTTTGGCTACACCTGCACACCTCAAACGGACGATCAAAGGTCCCTACCGATTTTTAAAGTATATAGTGGCAGTGGTGCTTTCAAGTAGCAAGCTGACGCTAGGATAATCGCCAATGAAAGATTACGCAAATGATTGTCATAGAGCCTTACATCGCTTGCCGTCGCGATTGGAGGACCAATCGCCATAATGACAAACACGTTTTGCGCCGCGGCCATACCGGTGCAATAGAGATTTTTTAGCACTGTATGAAATGTAGTGAGTCTTTGTGTTGCCTTTTCACTGATGGTCTTGGTCTGGGTCAAAAAAGAGCCGCCCTGTTCCATCATGCATTTGGGCCATGGCATTTGGGGGGCTGCAATGCTGATTTTAAAAGTCTAGAAAACCGCAGCATGTTGAAGCTACGTCTGCGCGAGGCCCTCACGCTCCCACTCTCACATGTCCCCTAATTGCGGGCGTGCGTGTGAGCGCCGTCAGCCGAGGAAAGGCAGTCGCGCAAGACGGAAAGTCAGCGTTGCAGCGTTGAACAGCCTGTGAGCACATCAAACTTTCATGTACCCATGCGTGCTTAGGATTGCTGTTCAGGCTTTGCCCTGACCCCTGAGTGTCCGAAGTCTTGTGCTACAAGCTTGCCGTCGTGCGGCTTTATTTGCTGAACGCTTCACAGGTGCCCAAAGTTTTCTCCGACATCGCCGCGGAGCTTTGGTGCCAGCATGTTGGGAAAAGGCGAGCTGCGCGCCGAAGCTAGACATTTTCGACCGCTGAGGGGCGATCCACGATTGTGGCCTTGCAATGGGGCTACGTTTTCAACGGCGTTTTTCGATTTCGTGCCGTTTTGGCTTGGGCCCTAAAGGCGGCGGTGAAATGATGCGATTTTGCATCGAAACGGTGCGTGGCAAGATTTGGCCCCAGAAGCTTTTTGCAAGCGGGGCGCTTCACTTTGGAAACTTTCCGGCTTCCTGGTTTGAGGGGTCCGGCGCGCCGGGCTCGCCCCGGAAAACGGTGCACAAACACAAGGTTTTGGAGCCATGCGGTGGGCGACGGGCCATAGGAGACTGAAACCCAACATTGTCCTCCGTTGTAAAACAAGAGCAGGACGCAGCAAGTGCGCCCAAACGCCAGAAGGCAAAAACGACGAAAGAGACACGATGTCGCAAATCGAGGGGAGGCGGCGCAACAAATCGAAATTCGACGTTGCAAGGTCCAAGGTCTGAAGCGAAGACGCGTGCAAGCTCTTCCTTTGCGAGGCGTGGTTGTTACATCCCCATCCGAAGGGGGTCTGCCTCATCGTGGCGGACAGGTCTAGTACCCACGTCGCACATGTGACGTGGGGAAGCTAAAAGACCCCCAAATGATGTCATGGATATTCGCGCTTGGCCTTCGTGCTCGTCGCTAAACGCGCCCAAAGTGGCTTTGCAGGTGGAGGTGCCTCAAGACTTAAGAGCTGGTCCCAGCACTGTTGGGCAAAACACGTGGAATCCTTTTTTGCCCTCTTTTTTTTCGGGGGTTGAGCAGAGTAAGACAGCCAGACACAGACGGTTGACACTCATATAGACACGCACAGACGCACAGACGTCATCTACGCAACACGCCCGCAGCGATTTTCCGTGCTCATTGTACAGAAAACTTTCCGTTTTGTAGAAAAGCGTTTGCATTTTCCTGATTCGACCGCAAACTGCTGAGGTGGACCAGTCCAGACACTGCGGGAACGAGGCCGGCGCGCCAACGGCTGTGGTCCCAAAATGGCCACGAAAGACGAGTCTTGGTCGAACACGGTTGCTCGTGTTGACTCTGCACAGCGTCTGCCTGTGACTGAATGTGGGTGTGCAGCGCGCTTTGGTGCAAAAAGCTAGTCCGGCCGACCTGCAACACCAAGGAAGCTTCGAGAAGCCATGGGCAGGCGCGGCAAGGATGGCATCAGCCACACCGAAAGGCAAAGGGTTGGCCCTCGAGCGGTGGCGCTGCAGGAATGGTTCCACGCAGACATCCTCCGTCCCTCTACCCCGGGGCCGACGGCAGCGCGTTCGTGCGGCGCGGTGGGGCGACGTGCGACGGCGAGCTGTTGAGCCTGGACGGCCTTGGCTCGCGGCTGACGGCGCACAACCATGAGGCCTGCAACAGGCCGGGTGTCTGGCTGAGCACGCTGGCAGGTTCCGTGCGGGAGGAGGCGACGGCGCTGCCATACGTCGCGACAGACGTGGAACGCGCGGGCCTTCCGCACTTGGCGGAAGCGTTCGCAGCGGAGCTGCGGGCGGCCTGCCAAGTTCTCGACGCGACCCAGCAGCACCCGAGCACCGACACGGAGGTGCGCCACGCGGTGACGCTGCTCCTCGCGCGCCTCAACGACCCGGCGAATGTGGGGCCCTGCAGGCAGCGGACGGCGCTCTTTGCAGCGAAGGCGTACGCGTACGCCATGCAAGCGCTGGAGGCACGGGCATGTGACCGCGGGACACGCGGCTAACATTTGGGGACAAGTCACAGTCACTAGTCAAGTTTTGAAAACTGCAGCGAGCGAGCGGCGTCTGCGTGAGCGGGCGTGGGGACTGCACTTAGCTTCGAGGCGTCGAGGGATCGAAGCCACAAAGCGTCCAAGCCGCCAAGCGTCGAAGCTTTAAGGCGCTGCGAAGAGCGTCCAAACTTCGAGGCGTCAAGGCTTCAACGCCGCAAAGCGTCCAAGCCACCAAGCCGACAAGCGTCGAGGCGTGGAGGCGTCGAGGTGCCGAGGCGTGGAGATGCGTGGAGGCTTCGGCTTTGAGGCGTGGAAGGACGTTGCCAAACCCATTTCCCCATACCCTCCAAAAGCGCACACTCACATTGGGCACGCAGGAGGTGCGCTATTTATTTTTGATTTATTGGGCCGCGTCAGCCACTTCAAGTGGCCGAGATGGCCGAAGTGGCAGAGGTAGATTGCTTCTTTTGAAGAAAGATAAGACTCTAAGGTTTGAGGTAAGCTTGAAGTGGTCCATGTGGCCGAAGTGGCCGAGGAATAGGACTTGGCAGAAGGGTCTGACAGGAAGGTTGACGAGGGCTTGGAGAGAAGAGGTTCGATATCTCGAACACTATATTGTTATATTCAATCCTTGATGAACAAATTTGTTGAAGGAAACTATATGATGAGCCTGTGCCATCTGATGAAAGATGCCTGATGGATTCGAAATTGCGCCTTAGGTCGACCTGGCCTTGGAAATTCACAGCCACGTGGTCGTGGCGATCGGCGCGGGCCATGCCAGGAGCTCGCCCGTGGCCCGGGCGAAAGCCGTCCGCCACTGGGCGTTTGAATCTTGAAGCGTCTCAATGAACATGATGTGTAGCATGCACTTCGCATGGGTCCTTCTCAGGACTTCTCCCCTCCCAGCACCTACACCCTCTAAATCAACTGAATCAACCTCCCAGAAAGATTTTAAACAACCAAATGAATCCCGATCAAACTCCCATCCAAAAAAATGTAAGCCTTCAAAGGTATACTTGTAGCCTTTTGTAAGGAGAGCTCAGCTCCTTGATGGTCCCTGGTCTTTTCCGGGTCCTGGACTTTGATGCGTCGGGCGACATCGGAACTCATGAGTTCCTCCGTGGGGCGCTTTTGCTCCTGGCCACGGTACAAGGCGAGGCGAGGGCTGGTTTGAGAGATCGTGTCGTGGCGATGGAAGCACCACGCCGGGGGAGAAACACTTGGAAAATGACAAGTGGTATCCTTACCGTCAGCGAGGACTTCGGTGGCTAGCTCAAACACTTGGCATGTGGCTCTTCAGTGTCAGCCGTTTTGACCGGTGGGGTTGGTACTTGCAACTGGCTTCAAACTCCCCTCCCCCCCTGGCAGGCACAAAGCTTCAGCAGCTTAAGTGTAATGTTACCATTGGGTTGCCGTTGCCCGTGCTCTGGCTGCCAGGGGCCACAGCTGTATGCAAGCACTGCAATCAAAAGGTCATGCCTTTGGGTTCGGAGTCTTTGGCAGGAGAGTGTTGGCACCTGAGGGGTCCGCATTCGGCAAGTAGCGGTCGGCCAGTAGCGGTTCGATCATGCACAGCCTGGAGTTTCGTCTTGAAGAATGCACCTCTAAGTCTCTAAGGTGAAGGTTTCTTCTGGATTCAAAAACTCTAGCTGACTCACCGTGCAAACTACGTCTTCAACCGACATTATCCACTCACTCTGAATCCAAATGACTGTCCGCGCGGTTCTGCAGCGTCTGCGAGGCGCCCCACTCGACACTCCCCAGCTGGCAGAGCTGGCGTTCCGCCTGGCGGACAGCGATGGGGACGGCTACGTCACGGCGCTGGAGCTGGGACGATGGGTGCCTCGTCGTTGGGAGTCGTGAAAGATTGGGAGCCCAAGGCTTTGGTTTGATGAAGACACATATTCTCTTGCGGGTTGAGAGGGAACCTCGCCAGCTTTAATCTCAGAGGACGCCCTTCTTCGAGCTAAGAGGTTCAGCACTAAGAGATTCCTGCAGTTTCAGGTATTGAGGCATACTTGTATATAGCATGTACAGTTTGACCAGAAGACTAGTTCAAGACGTTACATCAAGCAAGTTACAGGAGGATGGCAAAGTGGATTTTGTTGTCTGCCATAGGTGGCTCGCGCGGTAGAGCACGGAGTGCTGGAGCCCGAACTGCAGATGGACGCCTGGAGCAATAGAGGTCGCGGCAGGCATCTCGATGCCAAGTCACAATGCCAGGGGAGATCAAACATATATATATATATATAATTCAAGACAAAGAATCAAATTGAACCAATTTGAACCAATTGTCCCCCTTGCGTTCTTCTCTGTTCGACGAAGACGAATCGCCCTCGAGATGGGGCACCATCTGCATCAGACTGAATCGGGGTACCCACGGGGTCGGTCAGATGTCAGTCGACCGAATTCAAAGACGTGAGAGTCACCGGGGGCCGACTGGTCAACCCATGTCGGCTCATTTTTGTGTTTTATGTTTTTGTATGTATTTTTAAAGACTGACTGCTTCGTCAAAAGCGTTCGGTCGGTCTCCGAGCTGTTCGGGGCTGGGCTCTTGCAAGTGTTCGCTCCGAATCGGAAGACATCCCAGGGGACATCCCCACATGCGGGGCACTCCATCCCCCTTGGGCTCTTGAGGAACCGCGAGGGCCCTTTGGGCTCTTCGGGGAGCGGCGCTTGGAGCCCGCGCAGCTGGCGGCGAAGTGGTTGCGGGAAGCGGACGCTTGGGCACCCCAAAAGCCCACAGGGTGTGTGATGGGTGGGAGCCATGAACGCGACACTGGGGCAGTAACTAGTGTGACTAGGACAACAGACTACAGCTAACTGGGGTTTCTTTATGTTTCTTGCAGAGTGTCTCTGCTTTGGATTGTGCACGTGGCGCTTCCTTACTGCTGATGGACGGCTTAAACACCCTCAGTACTCATGGCTCACGCACTTGAAAATACCAACACTTCAAGAAAGGATAGCTGTGATTTGCAAGGTAGAGCTCTCAGATTTTGAGAGCTGATGTGGCCTCTAAAGACAAGTCATTTCCAAGTCCAAGGCTTAAACTGACTTGGACAATAGCACGTCCTAAAAGACACTAACGTTCCCACATCTTACCACATCTTTCGGGAAGAAACTTGACAGTTTCTTGACCTGCCCTTTGGAAGACTCTTTTCCTCCAAATGACAGCCCGCTTTCCACTTCCATGTTTGTTGGTTGGTGTTTGACAGCAGCAAGCCAGGAGAACTCCTGCATGTACTGTCTCGGCCCGAGACATTGGGCCCCTCACCACTAGAAACAAGATACTTTCTTGACCCGTGTCGTTACACTTAAAACATGGAAGTCCAACTTGCAGATTGACCATGCCGTGCAAGCGGGCTACAACATCAGGATTTTCACCAAACCTGGAAAACACAACCGAGTCTTCTCCTGCTTGCCCCCACCATTTGCTCGCGGTGTGGGAAATGTGTTTGAGATCCCATGGGAATGCGCGGAAAGAGTAAGAGCACCACAGGAGTTCCTACATCCCAAGACCAACCTACTTGCCCGCAGATTTGGACTTGCAATCAACAAAATTACCAAACTTACTGTATCTGTTTTTGGACCTAGACAGACCATGAACCCCAAAGATTATTCATCACACCACCTTCTCCTTCACGACCTGGACCAAGGACTTGGACCGCGATGGCAAGCTGCTGCCCGACGAGTTTCGCGTCTTGGCGCCCCGACTGCGCCTGCACCGCGTGATCTCCAGCATGGCGCAGTGCTTTGCTGCGCAGATGCCCAGTGAGTGAGTGGACGAATGGTCCGCTTTTGGGTTTGCAGACCAAGTTTTAGAAGATGGCTTCAAGGCCAGGAAGATTTTTAGTGGCTGTAATCTTTAGCTGAAGTGCATTTTTTGGATGGGCTAGGCTAGGTCGCCCAAACGACATGTTGTGATGGATGCTTTGCATCTGTGCCTGGCTTGAGGCAATCAGCTAGCTGGGACCAGTTAGGTGGCAGGCTTCGAAATCTCAACTTCTGATGCCCTTTTCCACGCGGTGGCCGAAGGGCACCCACCTTGGCATCGAAGTGAGATGCTAGCTCGGCCAATGCCGGGCACATCGAGGGTCGTATATGGTTGCCTTCCATATCCACTGAATATAACCAGGTCATGGAGCTTTCAACGTGAATGAACATGGATGACCATCGGCAAACCTCATGATGACCCTCTGCATTGGCTGTGACCGATGGCGGAGGACATGTGATTTGATTGTGGAGAAACCACGCATGCCGACATGTTGCTGGAATGTGCGACTGGAATGTGGGCAGAAGGGATGGAGGTATCAAAAACATAGGTCGCAGCAACCCAAAAAACCAAAAGCATTGAGAAGTTCTACGAACCATTTGGTTGAGGTGTGAACTGGACCAGGTCCACCGCCCGTTTTCCGGTCCGGTTTGTCCGCTTTCCACGACGTTTGGACGGCCCGTCGTGGGTCTGGACGGTCGGATCAGCCACGAAGAGCTTCGTTCGGCCTTGAACGCTTCAAGCCGCGGCCTGACCGCTTCAACCATCTCACCACTTCCCAAACGCTTTTCTGCGAACCACTGTCCAGCGGTGTGATAGCTGGACAAAAAGCTCCCCGAACTCGAAGCTTCCAGCCTATGGCGACAAGAAAACTGCCTCCCCAGCGGACGAAAATGACAGATTACCCTCCCTTGAAACCATCGAAGTGGAACATGGCCCTTTAAACAAATCATTGTCCTCTATGGATTAAGGAATCCAACGGCTCGCCCATGGCTTTTCCCAGCGATTGGACTCGCTGAACGACTCGCGATTAGTCGGCACGCTGCTGGGTCGACCGGCACGTCCCGGGGAAGGCGGAGGAAACGAACGATTTGTTGCCTAGACCGACACACATGGGGTGTGTTTGTTAATAGGGAGACCCCGAAGCATTGGCTAGACCGGTCTATTTCCCTGTCTTGGAAGGGGGCGTCATTTTCCTGCGGAGGTCTCCCCTTTTTCCCCTACTCACCCACATAGCACGTACGCCGAAGAGATAGGACAAGGAATGGTTTTCAACACGAAGATCTGCCAGTTGCCAGGTGCAGCGGATTATGGAGCATGCCCGTGGGGATGCTGAGCTCCAGAGGCTCTACCAGGCAGGGCCGGGTTGGAAGAAACATGAAGAAACCGATGGATGGAGCCATGACAGGGCAGGGTTGAAGGACAGGAAATAGACCAGTCTACCCAGGAAATAGGACCAGGAGGGCCAGGGCATCTCCCTGGTTGAAAAAAGAACATCCCTTTGTATTGATCACTTTCCCTTGGAAGGTGCTTGGAAGGTTGAATCACCATTCCACCGTGCTTTCTTCATGGCTTTAGTCGATTCCATAGATTGCTTAGGGAAATAAGGAAGCTGCCAGACACATTGAATTAGGCTTGGAGAATGGCATGGGGGGGTCATGAGATCGGCATCTACAGTTCCCTTCCTCTAACAGAAGGCCTACGGTTTTTTCACTGTCTTATGTGTTTTTGAGATCAATGCAGGTGTTGTTTCTCGCTGCCAGAAGCTGCCAGTCTGCACCGATTGTTTGGGAGATCCAACTGTTGGTTTGCACATGTTAAAACACAGTTCTCAAGCTGCTCTGGCGCACTTAATCGAATAAAACAAACAAATCAAACCACATTGCAAAAGATATATAGATACTAAAGAGCTCTCTATCTTGGCAGGGGCCATTCCATTATTTGTGGTAATCCAATATTTTGAGGGGCTGTGGTGATTCTGTTTTGGAGGCACTGGTGTGTGACAAAGCAGTGGACTAACTCCCAAGTATGCTTTTGAAAAAAACCATGTTTGTTGCTTTCATCTATGAACCGTGGGCATGGGCTAAGTTCTTGGTAGGTAGCATGGAGTGCTTCTGCAACCCATTTATATACATCTCAGGCTGATGGCACCACAAAACAGGTCTGACCAGTTCTATAAACCACCTCCAGTGCCAATGTGCCTCGGGTAACATCTATTCTGAAATCATGTGCATTTCCAACCCACTGCCCGATCAGCTCCTCATCCCTTCCATCCCTTCCAGCGGGGCGAATGTGGGTCCGACGAGGCCATTCGAAGCGTGGAACACCAGATCATGACGAGGCGAGTGTGGCGACATTTGTTGGCACGAGCTGGCGCGAGCGAAGACAGATTTCACAACGCTTCGTAGCCTCGGATGGACGCACTTTGCGGAAGGTCTTTTTGCAGGACTCGCATTTGTGTGAATTTTCTTGTCAAGTTCACATTGGCCTTGACATTCCGGACTGTAGCGGTTCAAAAACGAGCTAAATGGTTCATTTTCTGGAGTCACGACGATCTCAGAAGCTAAAAACGTATGTGAATGGGAAGTGGTGGGAGGTCCACTGATTAAGCTGGAGGAGAGCTGATTGAGCCAAAGGTTCTGGATTGAAATAATGCTAGATGATGCTAGATGCAAATAGGTTGTGGCAAGCCATTGGTGGTTTGGTTCCTTAGATGACTTTCGATCAGCTGGGTCCATGAGTATTCATTTCAAGGCAGAGAGCGGCAGGGTGGGCCAAGGGTGGATTGGCAAGGAGATCCTGGCAATTGGTGAGGTGGGTCTATCCACCTCACCCTAGAAACTGCTTGGGTTCGGCTCACCTCCCGAAAGTGGAGGACTTGGCTCATTTGACGGGGGATACACCCAGGGTGAAGTTATTCTGTTTTTAACCATCTCAGAATCAGCCGGTCTCAGAATCAGCAGAAGCCACCTCCCTCGGTCCAGGGATGCGCCTCCCGGCGCCAAGGAGGACACAGCGCCGTGTCGGGGTTGGGGAGGCGACGAAGGTCTTCAGCCGAAGGGACCAGAACTGGTGAAGGGCCAGGTTTTGTCAGGGGAAGTGCCCAACAATTCGGACGTTGATGATTTAGGTCTGTCACCGAGAACAAAACAGCATGCGTGGGCGAGATGCTGACCTTGAGGATGACGAGCGACTCCCTGGGTTTGAGGGTTTTGTTCATGCTGCAGGCAAGCCAGATGTTCGGGGATCGGTATAGATTTGGTAATTTTGTGAAGAATGCAAACACTTGTTGATTCATGTATAGCATGTGGAGCCTGGAACGTTTGATCCTGGTGAGCAGTCAGGAGGTTTCCAAGTTAGAAATCCAGCTCCCAAGCCTCTCCAAGTTTTGATGTCATTGTGAAGGAGACTGGCTCCTTTGTTTAATGCTCGTTTTGGCCAATGCAGGAAGGACATGTGCTTCATCACCAACTACATCTATATAAGCACTTGTTTGGCAAAGCATCGCCCCCGTAGATGCAGACTCTTTGTTGCAAGGACCTGCGAGAAGTCTTCAAGCATATCCAAAACTACATATCAAAGGCCTGTTCTGATCGCTGCTCTGCTCGGTCAATGAGATCGTTTTGGTGGATGTTTCATGAAATGCGCATCGTGCTTGTGGGGTCGAGGAGACTGCAGATACCCACATTCTCCCCCAAATGCGCATTTGGTTCTCCTGGAGTGATCTTTTTGATGGCCCAGATTCAGATCAATGACATGTCCCTGGGAACCCAGTCCTGAGTGGCAAGCATTCAGTTTCAAGTCTTCACAACTTGGGCTCGATTGGTTGCACTCTTTTGTAAAAAACAACGTCAACTATATAGCAGCGTTCGACTAGAGTCTGGCTGAGGGGGAGATGATTCTTTTCTCTTTCAGGGGGGGGCGTTCTCCCGGTTTTCCCTTTTTTCCTGAGAGGGTCAGCACCGGCCAAGTGGCCCAGGACACCGGTTTTCGATGTGAGCCCCACGATCGACCAGAAAAAAAAAGGAGCCTCACAGTCGACCCGAGCTCCCCAAATAGAATAGATGGTTGCATGGCTTCCAATACAGATACACTTTGATTTCTATTTTTGGGTATAAGTTCATGAGAGGACATTTGTGAATCTATTTTTCAACTGAACATGCTTCTTCGGAGAGGACCGTTGAGAGATGGATTGTCATCACATACATAATGTCCTCCAATCCAACATTTTGCAAGCCATTTTCTCCGACAAGAGATGTTCCAAAAGCCCACGAGTGGCTCATCCCCTCCAATCCCTCGACCCCTCTCCTCGCCAGATGAACATGTCTTAGACCGGCGTGGGCACTCAGAGTGGACCGCGTGCCGCATGGGCTTGGGAGTCTTTGGTTTCTCCAGGATCTCCAGGGTACATCACCACATCAGCGGGTTTTGGCCGATTAATGGATATTTCTTTGAGGGGAGGGTGGTTTCTTGGAACACCTTTCAGGAATGATCAGCTTTTCCAGTCACCTGCCCCAGGACCTGGTTCGATTCACGCTGACGGAGCGAAGCCAGGCTGTCTCTGCAAAAGTCTTGTCTCGCCCAGAGCTCAGAAATCGGCGCAGGCTTCGAGCGCCTGTCGCCGCTTCGAGCGCCGACCAGCGCCTGGCGCTCGAAGCTGTCGGAGCGAGTCGAAGCGTTGGGCCCTTGGGTTCCAGCGATCTTCGTTTGGTCGACGGTCGGTGCAGACATCGTCGTGGCTTCGGCGAATCGAGCACACAGAGCCCAGAGAGGAGGAAGACACCGTTTCTTCCATATTTGGACCGTTGGATTCGCAAGAGACGGAGGAGTCCAAAGACCCAAGGCCATTGGATTTTCATTTCGTGGACTACAGTATTCAGTTTGTTTTCAGGTATACAGGGGTGGACGATGTGGCCCAGAAGCATGGGACCTGCTGCAATGACACAGCAGTTTTGATCAGTTTTGCTTTCATTTGACACAGCAGCAGGCATTGACCGGGGTACTTGC